CCCCGGCCGGCGGCGGCGGGGCTGGCCGGGGCGGCGGGGCCATTGTGTGCTCCAGACGGGGACACGGCCGCTCGCTACCGCACCCTCGCCCGCACCCGCGGCTCGCAGCAGCGAAAGTATCGCGAGAGCGGCCGGCCAACAACCTGCTCCGCCACAGCCCCGCGCCGCGCCCGCGGAGCGCCCGCGCCGCCGCCGCGCACATGCGGACGCCGAGCGCCGCCGCCGCCCGCCGGTGAGTAACGCGGGGAGAGCCGCGGAGCGGGGAAAGGCGGCGGGAACGCGCCGCCACGCCACACCCCGGCGGGGGAAAGTCCTCCCCGCAAAGTTGGGGAGCGCGGCTGTGGAGGGGGGAGATCCCAAAAGCGGCTCCGCGGTGCTTCCCCCCGCCGGCCCTCCCAGCGCTGCGCGGAGCCGGGCACCGGCGAAGGTCACCGCGGCGGGCTGCGGGGAGCAACTTTGCGGCGGGAGGTGGGGTCCGGGCTGGGGGCGGGTGGTGGCGAGAGTATCGGGGGAGGGGGGGCGGGCTCGGGGCAAGTTTGTGGGATTTAATCGCGGGCTATAAATGGGGCTGCTGGAACTTTAAAAGGCAGCAAGCTGTGGTTGGCTGGTAGCGAGATTTGGAGTAACATATGGCATTAAAAGGCGCACAGCTGGAGGTAGCATTTCCATCGCAGTGAAGTCAGAGCAGCTGACTCTCCAGCTTGCGGTGTAATTAGCAAACCGAGCACTCCTCCTTCCCTCCCTCCTCCTCCCTCCCGCCTGCCTCTCTCTCTCTCTCTCTCTCCCCCTCCCTCCCTCCCGCCGCGCCTCGGTCGCACTCGCACCGCGCTCCCTCCTGCCCGCCCGGCTCCGCGCCCGCGGCCGGCCCCGCCGCGCCCCGCGGAAGGTAAGCGCCCGGCCGCGGCACGCAGCCGGCTGCAGCCTCCGTCCCGCCGGCCTTCCGCCGCTTATTTTCCTCCTTGCCTTTTAATAACTTCGAGCGAAACTTTTTCTTTCCTCCCCTTTTTTATCCCCCCCGCCCTTTTCGTGTGCGGGCGCCGGGGCCTCCCCCCCCTCCTTGCCCCGTGCCCCCCTCCCCGCAGAGCCGCCGCTCCCCCAGCGCCAGCCGCCGCTGTTTTGTTGTCATTCGGTGCATAACGACTGAGGATAAAGTTTAAATGTGTGTGTGTGCGTGCGTGACGCGGGGAATATGCTTTATTAAAAGATGCCCCAAGTTAGTGTTGCTGGGAAGACAGCCTGGGAGTTGATGCTTTTTTTCTTTTCGGGGGTGTGTGTGCGCTTTCCTCTGCTTAATTTTATTAAAGTGCTTAGTGGGAGAAACAAAGGTTGGAGGGGCTGCTGCTTTACTAGCTTTTGTTTACTTACAATCAAGTTTTTCCTGTTCGGAGCAGGTGCGAAAGGATGAGAAGCATGTTGTGTTGATGTTGTGTTTTTTTTTTTTCTTCCCCCCCCCAATAAAACTATTACAGACAATTAACAGTAAATGTTATCTCCAAGGCTGTTTCTTTGGCTTGGGTTACCAAAAAGCCGATCTGTTTGTTACAGCTGCTAGGAGGCTTTAGTTTACAGTAGCATTCAAGTTTTTCCTGTTTTGAACAGGTTATGAAGGAAGAATGGAGTTTCCAGACCATAGCCGCCAGTTGCTGCAGTGTCTGAGTCAGCAGCGTCACCAGGGCTTCCTGTGTGACTGTACTGTTTTAGTTGGAGAAGCTCAATTCAGAGCTCACAGAGCCGTTCTTGCCTCTTGCAGTATGTACTTCCATCTTTTCTACAGGGACCAGTTAGACAAAAGGGATATTGTGCATCTGAACAGTGACATTGTCACAGCCCCTGCCTTCAGCCTGCTGCTCGAATTCATGTACGAGGGAAAGCTGGAATTCAACAGTCTCCCAGTGGAAGATGTGCTGGCTGCGGCGAGCTACCTTCACATGTATGACATTGTGAAAGTCTGCAAGGGCAAGTTGAAAGATAAAGAATTATGTTCGGAAGAGAAGATTAATGATGAGGCGGCTAGTTTGGAGAAAGCGGAGCATTTTCTAGATGCCGGAGTGCCCCTGGTCCACGAGTTTGACCCAGGAAACAAACAAAAATTCAGCGTTGCAGAATACGAGAGAGCAGCAGGCAAAGAAAAGGTCAGCAGTCACCCCGCCTGGTCCTCTGATCATATAAGTGTCAGCTCTGTGCCGACAGAGGCAGAACCGTGCGCCGCAGCAGCTGGAAAAACAAAGGCTAATGTCAATAGTTCCACAGGACCTTTGTCCCAAAGGTCTGTTAACCATCCCCTGGCTTCGAGTGATGTGGACTGTGCGCTGGATTTGTCTTTCAAGCCCGTGCCGGGGAGAGATTCCTTACACCCCTCCTATGTCTTTGGACAGCTGGCTTCCGACAGCCAGCAGCAGGGTACCGAGCCACTTGTTAAAGATGAACAAGACTTGCTGTCAGATCAGGAGGACAGCGAAGCCAGGAGTCCAGAGAGTCAGCATTTTGGGAATTCAGCCAAAAGCCTAGTGACAGGGTTAGGACACATGTTCGCGGGGAATGGCAGCTCTCATGCCCGAGAGGAGGATATAGATCAAGAGCGAGACGAGAGCGAGGACGACATGGATTCGTCGGACATCTCGTCGGGCGTCCTCGTGCCTCCTGGGCATATCTGCATTTGTCCCCTCTGTAGCAAGGTGTTCCCGAGCCCGCACATCCTTCAGCTGCACCTGAGCTCTCACTTCCGTGACAAGGACGGCTCCCGGACCCGCCTGTCCCCCGACGGGTCGGTCCCCACTTGCACCCTCTGCGGAAAGACTTTTTCCTGCATGTACACGCTAAAGAGGCACGAGAGGACTCACTCGGGGGAGAAGCCCTACACCTGCGGCCAGTGTGGGAAGAGCTTCCAGTATTCCCACAACCTCAGCCGCCACGCGGTCGTGCACACCAGGGAGAAACCCCACGGGTGCAAGTGGTGCGAGAGACGCTTCACGCAGTCCGGGGATTTGTACAGACATATCCGCAAATTTCATTGTGGCCTTGTAAAGTCCTTGGTTGTTTGAGATGTGTGACTTTTGTTTTGGTTTTTTGTTGTTGTTTTTGTTTTTTTTTTTTATATCTACAACCCCCCCCCCCCCAACCCTTTTAAAACAAAACAGGAAAAAAAAGGCAGCATCTGAATTTTTATTTTGTTTTTCTCCTCCCTTTCCTTTATTTTGTTCTGGTGATATTCACTTCAGGTATATGATCTTTAAAAGATGCGGTGGTATACACTCCAGAGGCCTTTTAAAGCAATCCTTCCACCTCTCCATTTCCCCCCTTCCCCTGCCACTCTCCCTTCCTAGCACAGTCCTTTAGGTCTTCTCTTGTGCACCCATGTTACATTATTAATGTGAAATGATCTTAAGTAATTCTGCAATGATTTAGCATCAGTTTTCACACTGGAAGTACTTGCTTTGTGGTCAGGGTTTTGTTGGTTTGGTTTTTCTTTTTTTTTTTTTTTTCTTTTTTTTACCTTTTTTAAATTCTGGAGAAAAATTTGGCTTCCATTAAACTCCCCAAATGCGCTCTGTGTGTTGCAGAGAAATATCTGAAGAGATGAACTATGATTTAAATACATTTTGGTGTAGAGAAACCTGTTCACACGTTGCAGAGCAGGCAGACTTACTTTGGTTTTATAGACCTAGATGAGACAATGAATTGGCTCAAATTTTAAAGGGGTTGAGGATTACTGGCTGCATCTTTGGTGCTGGTCATTTTTTATTCTCTTTATTCCATTAATACTGTTCTGCAGTTGGTCCTAAAATCTAAATGAGAAGTTTTTGCCTTGGGACTTGACTTAAATTTTTCCCTTCTCACCCATCCTCCTCACTGGGCTGACCTGCTGAAAAGCTGCTTTTGAGCATACAATGTGGATGGAAAAATACTTTCTGTCTGCAGCATATTCACTCCCAAAATGTTGAAGGATGCACGCTAGGCTATACAAAAAAATTGTATAATATGTGAATATTTTCCTTCCCATATCACCATCCAGAGGCTGATCCCATTCCCCTTGGAGGGGACAGCAGCTGTAAAGTGGCCAAATACCCCTCCTGATACAAATTCCCTGGGGTTTTGTAGTTCAAGGTAACTCAAGCCTTGTGCATTTGGACATGCCCTGCTCTCTTGCCTGAAAAGTTTGCTGCCATGCTGAAACCAGCAACATGAAATTATATTTTATTTTATTTTTATGAAGTTGGCGATACCCTCTGAGCCAAATTGTGTGCAATTGCTGGTGTTCCCAAGAGGCAGCTGAGGATGAACCACTGGAGGGGAAAGCATGGTCTTTTTCCCCAAGTCCCACATTTTCAGGGGAAGTTTTTGGGGGTAATTTTTTTCTTTTTTTTCTTGTTTGTTTGTTTGTAAACTGAGGCTGCCTGTAACTATAGCCAGTTTTACTCCAGATGATTCAGTTTCTTGCCTGTTAGATCATCATTTGGTCTGTGCATGTCTGTGGATATCACTTTATTCCCATCCAGTCAAATCGCCCATTCAAGGTACACGTACACAGGACTGAAATACAGTAATAATAATATTATCTGAGGGGTGTGAATGTCCTTCTGCTGCATTAGCATTGCTTCACCAGCTTTCTTGACACTCCTGGAGTTGTTTGGTAGAACTTAAGCGTGTGTTTTAAAATGAATTTGAAGCACTGAGTTAGATTATTTTTAAAAATTGTGCTTAAAATACTGTATCGCATCTTATGAAGAAAAACTTCCCAATGCCTTTCCCCTTCTGGTCCAAAATCTGAGCACTACCTACATAAATAATATGGGATTAACTTTTTTTTAAATAAGTACTTCCTCTTTAAAGAAAATCAGGATATACTTGTTACAGCCTCTTACTATTCATCTCTTAAACTATGAATGTACGTGTAATGTGAAATTTTGCTTTTATTTATAGTTTTGGGGTTTGTTTTCAGTTTTAATTTCTCAACTGTAAAATATTTTTGCTGAACCTGTTACATATGAAAGTTGTGGGAGAGTACTGTATCTTGAACATAAGTGGCTTTGGTACTGTGGTCTTATTCTACTTAATCAGTTTTTTTCTTTTTTTTCTCTTTTTTTATTTTTGCTGTGATTGGAAATAGCACTGAACAAAATCTAGTAAAATTAAGTTATTTTTCTTTCTACTAAAATTAAGTTATTTTTTTTCTCCTGAAGATACTTGATATAGTATTTATTAGATTTTTTGTTTTGTTTTTGAAGTGGAATTATTACTGTTAAACTATTTCAAAACTAGTTAATTTACACTTTAAATTTTATAACAGTGGGTTTTGCATGTTGAGCAACATGTAAAGAGTTTAATGTAGAGTCAGCATTACTGAAGCTGGTAATCTTAATTTTGCATTCTTGTGACACTTTCGTTTGCATTTCAGTCTTCAATTACTGTTTGTTTTTATTTTTTTTTAGGAGATTATAAAATAGGATGTGCCATAAGAACATCATTAGCGTATGGAGCAGGGAAAAGTTGAAACAAGTTTTTGTCTGATCTTAGTATAGAAATAATTCATTAAACTGATGCTATGAGCATGCTCTGTGCTGCAGTGAATATGGGGCAAAAGTTTGTTTTTGTTTTGTTTTTTTTTTTAAATAAGGAAAAAAAAAAGACTTTCTCATCCTTGACTACATCATGAACACACTGTTCTCATAGTCTGGTATTTGTGTTCCCACTCCTCATAGCTTGAATTTCTAAAGTAAAGAAATGTTTGCACTTATTTTTGTTCTTAAGGTGACTTTTTTTTGGCTATTTCTCTGTGTGTCTCTTATTTTTAAGTTGCAATAGCTCGGAGCATGTTTTCAAAATGGTTCATGGCTCTACGGAGAAGAACTAAAACATGGCACACTTAACGCTTGTCTCTTCATAAACTATTTCTCTGTGGGGCAGTTGCTGTCTCCATAGGGAACAGTCCTGCTCTGCATTTTAAACACTGGATTTGTCTTCTACTACAAACAAATACTGTGAAGTTAATGTAAAAAAAAAAAAAAATCATTGATATTTTTAATTGTTTTTAATCTTGGTGCAGTTCAGATTAAATATGTATATTTAAAGACACTAATTTTTGTGGGAGAGTTTTATAGTATACAGTATGTAGAAAAGCTATTGGAATGGAATATATTTTATAAAGATGTTCTATCACTGTTTTATAGTGAACTATTTTTCCTTCAGTGTTAGTGTAATACTGTTAGTCTAGATACGACAATCGCAGGAAGAGTGATTCAGGCTACTGTTAGCGCTTAGTTTTGCGTGGAGTTCTGTTTGCAACTGTATCGGTATGTGCTGTACAATGTGACAATCGTGACTAGGATTGTTGTCTTTATAAATTTACATGAAATAAAACGTGCTAGAATTGTAAGCTTGAGCCTTTTCCCCCCTTTAGTGGAAGGGGTGTGGTGTTTGGGATTTTTTATTATGCATTGATAATGATTAATTGCAAGTATTTTATAGTTTTCCATTTTTTTAAAAAAAAATAATTATGATATACTCTAATAATTTCTTTCTCTTTCAGGGCCATCTGGAATTTTAGGCATGTAAGGAGCTGCCGTGTCTCAGTCAGAGCCAGACTGAGCATTTCCTTAGTGACTGGACCTAACCCAGCACCACTTCTGCGTTCTGAGCAGGGTTTTTGAGGGCTGTTTGAGGGGGCTCAGCAGCACTCCCTGGGTGCCCCGGGGGGGCTGTGGGGCAGCCCTGCCCCGAGTGATGCTGGTGGCAGCCGCAGGCGGGGGCTGGTGGCCGGGTGACAAACCTGCGAGCACGGGGTGCCGCGGTGTGCAGGGACAGCTCGGCACTCTCGGCTGATCCAGCAGTGCTGCTCTGGGCTTCTCTGAAGTGCAGAATCTCTCCCAGCCTTGGGGAGCTGAGCTCTGACCTGCTCCTCTTAGCACCTGCATCAGTCCTTGCTGATTTTAGCAGGAGCTGGGACTGGGAGGAAGAAGGCACGAGCTGTCCGTGCTGGCTTCTGCTGAGGGGAGGGCAGTAAGCTGGTGGGGAGGTTTGCACCTGTGTCTCGTGTTTCTTAACTATTTGGAAGCAAAAAGATCCTGGCAGAACGGGACTGCCTCAATGTGGTGCTGGTTAAAGGATGAGCAGGTTATAGTTAATGCTGGTGTGGAGGCACAGCTATCGCTCCCCTCCTGCTACCACGTAGAGGTTTCTTCACAGTCATCTCAAAATAGGTGGGTATTTCTTGCCTTCAGGCATGTGTCCTTCCTTAGAGATCCTGTGCCTGCATCCCCATCTGTGGGGAGGGCTGAAAGCTGCTGAAGATACGTGGTGATCTGCTGCAATGTGGTGAAGTGTTAAAAACTATAAATATATATATTTTTTAGGGTTTTTTTTAATTTCTACCGCTGAGAGTTGAGTGTCCCTGCAGCTGCTTATTTGTAGCGCTCTGTTTCCAGTCTTTTCTGCTGTTGTGGATGTATGCAAGAACGTTCAAGGAGGTTTTATCTCGCCTTGCCCCCCAAAAAATTAAAATTTGCCCAAATCTGAGTGTGGTGCTGGGGAAGGAGGAGGCAAAAGGCTTTTCTTTGAGAGAGGGTGCTCAGAAAGAAGCAAGCTTGAAGCTAAACCTGGGAGGTGGATGGCTTGCAAACAGGCTATAAATAACTGTGAGTAGATTGAGGAGAGCAGCCCACATCTCCTCTGGCATGGGCATGCTGTGCCCATTTTCTTTGTTGATAGCAATTGCTAATGTGAATTCTGGCACTCCAAATCCCGATGCCTGTTGTTCTGATAACATAATTAAATCTTAGGAATGTGAAATATAAAAAGCTTTGACAAGAAACCAGGCCACTAAGCGGATACTGGGAAGGGGGATGTGTAGGCAGTGTATGTACCAAATAAGCAATGGGATCCTGCTCCAGGCAGGATTCCCTGCCTGGCAGCTCGTGGCCACATTGGGAGTGATCCTGTGTCCTACAGGAAAGGGGGTGAGCCCCCAGGAGCATCTGCTGACAGCCCTTACAGCATGGGATATGGGCATCCTCCAGGATTACAGCACGTCATGGGCTCCTTAGGTTGGCAGGGGTCAGCCGTGCCCATGCCAGCAACTTAGGTTCGTGCTGCCCTTGCA